TTTATAAGGTGCTTCAGTCTCGCAAAGACCGTCAAAAAACATTGGCAAATAATGGTGGTAATCCAACTTATGTATATCAACCTGAAAGGGTCAAATATGATTTAAGAGCAATTGAATATTAAAACAATTTCCTATAGACCTTCCAGGAAAGCCTTCTGTTTGCGTCCAATGCAATGGGTAGTTCCCCTCGTTTATAGTGCACCCTAAACTGCGTCGATTTCGGTGGTCTCGGTTTCAAAACGTTGCATTTGGGAGGAGGAAGGATACATGTGTTTTTTTGCAGTGCCTGAATTGTGAAAGCAGGCACTATTCGACATTCTTTACTCTTAGGGGCCCCCGGTAACGGTTGTCTAATCGTTGAACGGAATTCTTTACCGCTAACCATTTTTAATCAAAAAATGCATAGAAAATGGTAAATTTCAGAAAATGCCACAGTTATGACATTTCAGAATAAACAAAACATTTGGATGTTTCTTAGGACACTTTGAAAAAAAAATTATTTCATCTTATCAAGTGACTTGAATATTGATTTAACAAGTTTATATCATAACATTTTAAATACAAAGAATAATCAATAATTTAGTTAAAAATAATTTTCAAAACTTAATAAGTCCTACTTTTTATATGCAATTTCTGTAATATTTGCCCCAACAGATTCAGAAACAGTAGGGGTTTTAGAAGGGGTTGTGACTCTGCCTCATTTAGAAATAAGATGAGCAAGTATTATAAGGAAATCTAGAACTAGGGCAATTCAATTTATTAATAATTTTTCAACTGCAAAAAAATTTGGATAAAAATTTTATGTTATGATGAATTGTTGCGTTAAATATAATTAATTTGTAATATTATTTTATTAATTGTTTGACTTGATTCGTTCACGTTTATTATTTATTACCATAAATTATTAAGGTACATATGCTAACCGACAACAAGAGTGTTTTCGTCGGGGTACGAATGTGGTGGCACTACCAAATTTAAAGGTGCAGGACCCTTTCTCACCCTACCAGCGGAGTCGTAGTGTGCACCGTGGCATGGACAGTAAAACCCTCCAAAATCACCCGTGATCGGAGAAAGGGGCACACACCCAAGATGGGTGCATACGCCAATGACCACCAGATACTTCGGATTCTTTGTTCTTTGCTCGTCTGTTTGGGGATGTCGAAGTTCAGTCAAAGGTACCGCTCTGGCCTTATCGATGTCGGCCTGGGTGCGATGCCATACGAATAGGGGTTTTCCTCGCCATTTAAATGTTGTATTCTTACCCTCAGGTAAGTCTGCCAGTCTTATTTCTATCTTAGCCAACGCGAGGACGTCCTTACTGGCTGCCAAACATAAAATGTAATGAAGGACATGTCCCTTAGTACAGTATAATAGCCCAACGGCTTTTACGAGTGCGATTGAATATGTAAAAACTTGTCTGTTGTCTATCGTCTCCTTATGGTATTTTGAGGGATTATTCGTTGACGATCTTCTGTAGTCACTGAAGTCAGGAGCCTTCATATCATGATGGTAGGTTCTAAAATTGAACGCATAAAGGGGATGAACGGAATATTTGTTGTGTTCTTTAAATTCAGATGCTTGATTTGCCAATATTATCTTCCATGCGTTGTTAAATTTTTTTAAAAATAGTAGCTGATAATGTTTCGTTTGGAAACGTTTTCTGAGTTGTCCTAACGCCGAAAGAATCATTATAAAAGCGAAGATTAAATGTATTTCGCATTGACAGATCTTTAATCAAAATTTTTTAGTTATTTTCGAAGACAGCTATGAATACAAACTAAACAAAAAAGTGTTCTGCATAATGTCATTAACGTCTTAATCACTAAATTAGAACATTATCCTTTTTAAAACTTTATTTACAACGGCAAAGGTCGTTTTAATAATTTAATTAATCATAATACATAGTGTGTTCATTTTAGTATTTTACTTGAAATGTGAGTAACATAGTAAGTTACTGTATAAATTGCATCTATCCTACAATTAGTAGTCCTTCTTCAGGAAACTCGTACTCGGGAATTTCTAAGTTGAGTGGTGCCGGTCCTTTGCGAATCCTTCCTGAAGCGTCGTAATGAGACCCGTGGCAGGGACAGTAGTAGCCTCCAAAATCACCTGCATTAGCAATTGGTACACATCCCAAGTGGGTACATACTCCCAGAACAACTAGCCATTCGGGACGTTTTACTCGATCATTATCATGTTGAGGATCTCGTAGAGTTGATGGGGCAACTGCCTGTTCTGCGGCAATTTCTTCAGCAGTTCGATGCCTGATGAATAGTGGTTTACCTCTCCATTTGAAAGTAACAGATTTACCTTCAGGTATTTCACTTAATTTGATTTCAATCTTGGCCAAAGCTAGTACATCTTTAGAAGCACTCATAGACGAAAGAAGATACGTCACGAGGGATTTAGCACTATACGTTGCCCCTAGAGCCCCAGCTCCAGCTATAAGATAGGTATAACTTTGCCGAGCATCCAGTGTTTCTGCACTCTTTTGGTTGGGGTTGAGAGTTTCTTTTCTTCTGTAGTTGGAAAAGTCCGGTACTGTAATGTCAGTGTGGGCCAAACGTACTTGGAAAGAGACAGCCGGGCCAGAGGAAACAGCTGATTTACCTAAATTTATTTGTGGGACAAACAAATTAACAGGTGCCAAGTTTTTAGCCTTCTTCGAAATGATTGCGCATTTTGTTGTTGTTTTGAGGCCATTTGGTACTACTTGGGTAACTGATTTTATAAACGGAGTTGCGTTTTTAAGCATTTTTTCGAACTGTTATGCAACTAAATAATAACCACCATTAAATTTTTGTAACCACAATTTGTTGCCAACAATGAGCTTATACGACGACCATAAATTAATAAGAATGATTTAGGCTCCCAAATTTATAATTTTATTCGTTTCTTGAAATAAAACAGTCAACAAGTGTTTCGATCATGTTTGATTATCTTTTTTAGCTTTAAAAGTGTAAAACTGTAAGCTATATTCTGTTGTTAGAAAAAAAATAACAAAGATATTGACAGTTGATAATCTAGCCACTACCTTCTTTAGTGGCTGAATAAGTTCATACGTTCAGAGGTCACTAAAATTTGTTACAATGGTTATAACCTCAAAATTGTGACGTTTGATTACACGATATACCGAACTTATACTGAAAATGCCTGATAGTGATCAATTAATTGTTTCATTTAGAGCATTAGGTTTAAGTGAACAAAAAGCTAAAGAAACGTTAAAAAATGCGACCGTCACAAATAATTTAGTTTCAATTTTAAACGAGGTGAGTGCATGATTGGTATGAAAGGTTAAAAGTTATCACTTGTGGTTGTAGATTCGTGGCATTGCTCTAACAGATGGTACAGGTATCTTACTGTACCATTTGGCTACAAAGATGAAGCCACAAATAGGCCATCATGTTCCTTTAATTGTTAAATATATAATCAGCAAACAACTGGATTCAACACTACGTATTGATAAGGCAATAGAATATGCCCTTTCTCATATAAACGACATTATATTAGACGATTTTGAAAAACATTGCGGAGTGGGCATTGTCGTAACTCCCGATGAAATAGAGAAGGTTGTTGAAAAACATATAAAAGAGAACAAGCAAGATCTTTTAGAAAAAAGGTACCATTTTAATGTGGGGGTTTTAATGCAGAAAGTTAGATCTGAAATACCTTGGGCTGATGGAAAAGCTGTAAAAAATGAAATCGATTTACAGGTAAGTGAATGCATGCTATCACTAAAATAATATACCAAAAATAACATTTATTCTGTTATTGTTTATAGATATTCGATTTGCTGGGACCAAAAACTGAAGCCGACTTGGTTCCTTTCAAAGTTGACAAAAAAGCGAAAGTAACCCGGAAAAAGGAGGCACCTATCACAAAAACAGTTGAAAATGACAAAGAAAATTTAAATGGTACAGTAGGAAATGCTTGTTCATTATATTAATTTTCAGTACAGTTATTGTCTAGCTGCTTTATCAAAATTCAGAATTTATGTAATAAAAGTAGAATAATTATTATATGACTTAATTTAATTCTAGTTGATGGCTGTAATCCTACCACAATACTTGATGTTATGAAAAAGATAAACTTTCATGCTCCTGGGGAAAACTATAAGACTGATGGTTATGTAGTTACTAAAAATACTCATAAGCTGCTAGAGAAACACCTGCAAATAACTGGTGGTAAGGTAATTCAAAATTGTACTTGTTTAATTACTTTATTCTTTATGTCGATAATTTTTTTGTAATGACAGGTACGCACACGTTTTCCTCCAGAACCAAATGGTATTTTACATATTGGTCATGCAAAAGCAATAAATATTAACTTCGGCTATGCTGCCGCCAATAACGGGCTGTGTTACTTAAGGTATGATGATACCAATCCAGAAAAAGAAGAAGAAAAATTTTTTATAGGAATTCGGGACATGGTGGAATGGCTGGGTGAGATTTTCTTTTACATAACTAAATTAATTAGTATAATTATAAATCGTTCGGTTAGTTTTAAATAAAAACTGTTTGTAGGTTACAAACCTGCTAAAATAACACATTCGTCCGATTACTTCGATCAATTATATAAATGGGCAGTTGAATTAATAAAAAAGGGTCTGGCATATGTATGTCATCAAAGCGCTGAAGAAATGAAGGGGTTTAATCCGCCCCCCTCGCCCTGGAGAAATCGTCCAATTGATGAGAGTCTTCAGCTTTTCCAAGTTAATATTTTTTATTTATGCCAGTAAATTACATATTCTATAAATAGAAGTTAATCCCTGTGTGTAGATTGGACTAAAAACAACAGGAAACTTACATACTAATATAAAAAAATATATACTAGACAAACTTTATCAAATCTCATGATTACACTTCTCACAAAGTATTGAAATGCTAATGCTATTCATTTAAATTTAAAAGATCATTTTTTAATGTTAAAAAATAACTACAAGTACGAAAAAAGAGTAAAATACTTCGTTATTATTGAATGTAAATTTAATTAAAATGAAAAACGATTAAAACAGTTCTGAACGTTAGTTTTGTGTGCAGTTAAGGATCCTATTTATTCGAATTAGATAAATTCAAATTTTAAAAATAAATTTTTATAGGACATGAAAAATGGTAAAATAGACGAAGGAGCAGCAACTTTAAGAATGAAATTGACCTTGGAAGAAGGAAAGTTGGACCCTGTAGCCTACAGGATACGTTTTGTGCCCCATCACAGGACTGGAGATTGTTGGTGTATTTATCCAACATATGACTACACTCATTGTCTTTGTGATAGCATAGAGAATATAACGCACTCCTTGTGTACAAAAGAATTTCAATCTAGGTAGTAACTATCATATAATGTAGAGTTCGATTTGGATGACCTTTTGTATTTTTCTTAGACGGTCCAGTTACTACTGGTTGTGCAATGCCTTGGATATTTACTGTCCTGTACAATGGGAATATGGACGCCTAAACATGAATTACACTGTTGTTTCGAAAAGGAAAATAGCCAAACTTATCACTGAACATGTTGTGAAGGGTAATAAAATTTATGCATTTTTTTTTGTATTTAATGTGTAGTACTTTAACTTTGTCTGTTTAGATTGGGATGATCCTCGTCTTTATACATTGACCGCGTTAAAAAGAAGAGGATTTCCTCCAGAAGCAATAAACAATTTTTGCGCGCAATTGGGGCTCACCGGTGCCCAGAGTTCGGTCGACCCCTCCATGTTGGACGCCTTTGTAAGAGACCATCTTAACGTAACAGCTCCAAGGTAATTTAACTTATTTCATTTCCAAATACAATAAAAATCGACAGAAATATGGTTTTCCAGGTGTTAAATCAAATTTATCAAAATATTATTATTAAGAAAATCATAAGGTCCTTTTTTAATAATTTGTTGAATTTTTATAGTTTTTATTTAGATTTGTTATGACTGAATGTATTATATTTCTCTTTTTTTTTCATTTTTTTTTGGTACAGACGTATGGTTGTGCTGGAACCGTTACAATTAGAAATTGAAAATTATCCCCATGAAGGTCCAGTTGAAGTATCAGTGCCTAATTTTCCTGCAAAACCAGACTTAGGTTCTCATCAGGTGTTGTTTGATAAAATCATTTTTATTGAAAGGAATGACTTTATGGAGGTAATTTGCTACCAGTTGTACGTAATAACAACTTGTGATATTATATTAATAGATGTTGTTCTTAGGTGGCTGAAAGGGGCTATCGTAGACTGGCACCAAATCAACCTGTCGGCCTTAGACACGCTGGCTACGTTTTAGAGGTAGTAAGCGTAAAAAAGGACGGCGATTGGGTAGAAAAAGTAATTTGCAAGTGCACAGAAGTTGACAAAGTTACTTCTAAACCAAAGGCTTTCATTCATTGGGTTAGCAACCCGATTAATATCGAAGTGCGTCTTTACAAACCCTTGTAAGTGGTGGATTATTTAATTAATATTTTTCATTTTGTAATTTCGTTGTGTAGGTTTAAGCACAAAAATCCAGAAGATCCAGTCGAAGTTCCCAATGGTTTTCTGAGTGACTGTGATTTGGACTCTTTGACAGTTCTCGAGAGCCTTGCCGACAAGTCGTTAATGTCTTCTAAAATATATGACAAGTTCCAGTTCGAAAGGGTTGGATTTTTCTCAGTAGATCCAGACACCAAACCAACACAAAAGGTACGCTTAGGGAAAGGATTAACTTGAGATTAAGGACTAAAAGGTATGTTAATTTATTTTTTTTTTGTTATAGATTGTTTTTAATTTGACAGTCGGTCTGAAAGAGGACGCCGGAAAATAGTATATAGGAAGGGGAAAGTGTGCCTTAAGACTTTGTTTAAAATGCATCTATTTAATCAATTAAATTAAAAATAGAAAATTAAACGATTGAATTTTCTACCATTAAATTGATTATAGTTTCGTTTTAAAGATAACGTTGAAGATTTAAAAACGGAGCAAATAAAAATTATTTAACGCATATCTCTTTATTTATAAAAAGGAAAATAAAAATACACATCAACAAAATTATGTATTAAATTAAAAATTGTAATAATAATAATAATAATCCAGTGATCTTCGTGTATTTCAAAAACTATGTACAATATTAGGACGAACGAGAACAGTAATTAAAACTTAAATGAATTTTATCATTTTCCGAAACTGTTCATAAGGTTTCCCAGACCTCCCATACCTCCCGCGGCACCCGCTTGTAATTGTCTCATCATGTTTTGTAAACCTGGTATTCCTCCCATTTGATGTAATACTCGTGGATCCATCATTTTAGCCATTTGCTGGTTCAATTTTGCCATTTGTGCTTGATTCACGTTCTTGGCCATGTCGCCCCCTTTAAACAGCCCCTTAATTCCGCCCATTTTCTTAACGACAGCCGCAAAATTCGTGTATTGCGTTATTAGGTCTTTGACTTCACGTTCTTAAAAAGGGTAAATAAAATTTATTAACAGTGTATAATAATAAAAAAATAATGATAGAAACTTACCTGTAACACCTGATCCTTGTGCGACCCTTGTGATACGACCCTGTTGTTTCGAAAAAAGTTTGGCCCCATCGCGACTGTCTAGTTCCCCGTCGTTCATACTATCCATTATGGTCATAAGACGTTTTAAACGCGCCATAGACTCTTGTTCACTACCTTTTGACATAAAACTTTGACTAAAACCGGGTATCATCCCCTAAAAGAATAAAAACAATAGAGAATCAATAAATATTCAAACCATATGTAATAATAATATGTACAGAATAGTTAAGGATCAACTAAAACTAAGTAAAAACAAACCATTATTTGTGAAAAAGGACCCATTTTCATGATATTTTGGAACTGTTCATACATGTCCCTTAGCGTAAACTGTCCATGTTTGATCTTTTCTAAAAGTTCTTCATTGTCCTCTAATTTTAATTCATTGACTTTGTCTATCAACCCTTCAATATCTCCCATTCCAAGTAATTTGCTAATAAATGGTTTTGTTTTAAATGGTTCTAAGTCATCTATGTGCTCTCCAGTACCAATAAAAATTATAGGACTTTGCGTCGCTGCAACCCTGAACATTTACATATATAAATAATAAATAGTATGCTATAATCAGTAAGGTAAAATTAAAATAACACTTACGCACTTAGGGCTCCTCCACCTTTAGCGTGGCCATCTAATTTCGTTATAATCACGGAGCCTACATCAACCTTTTCTTTAAATGCTTTTGCCTGAGCTTCACAAGCCTGTCCAATTGTAGCATCCATAACAAAAATAATATTATCAGGTTTCTGCAAAAAAATTATATTTGTTGTAGTTAACTTAACTTAATTAAACAATGTTTTACGTACCACTGCATTTGCTACAGCCAACATTTCTTCAAATAAGGATTCTTCCTGCTTGTGTCTACCACTAGTATCTACAATAATTATTTCAAAACCTTCTTTTTTAAACATATCCACACCATCCTGAGCAATTACTACTGGATCTACTTCTGTGTAGCTGTTAACAAAGAATTAATTAAAAATAGTATTATTAAAAGCTAAGATGGGAATAATACCTTCCGTAAAATGGTATCCTAGCTTTTGTACAGTTTTGTTTAACTTGATCATAAGCACCAGCACGAAAAGTGTCAGCACATACTAAACACGATTTCCAGTTTTTCTTTTGATAGTGATATGCAAGTTTAGTACATGTGGTTGTCTTACCAGAACCTTGCAAACCAACAAACATGATAACATTTGGCTTGCCTTTGATTGGGGTGTATGGCTTAACACCTGGATCAACCAGCTAATAAATATAATTATTAATAATAACATTATGACAAATTAATGTACTTACTTTAACTAACTCTTTAAACACTGCACTTTGTATCATGCGCCTCTTGTTAAGACCACCAGCCATTTCTTCAAAGTCGATTACTGACCTCACATTTTCCCTTAATTTTTTAACTAGACGAATATTTACATCGGCCTCCAATAGGGCAGCACATATTTCTTTAAGCATGCCATTTAATACCTAAGTAATAGATTTTCTTAATGTGAAATTTAAAATACCAGCTGTTTTCGTGGTTAATTTTACCTCTTCGTTTATTATTGTTGCTTTACTTAGGGAATGTAAAGCGGTCGTAATTTTACGACCCAAATCCGCTAAAACCATTGTGTTACCGAAAACCTATTAAAATTTGTGTTACTACTACAGAATTAATACGGTTTTTTTTAATTAACACTTTGCCATTTATTTGTACGTCAAACTGTCAAAACAGTTAACACGTGTTCTACGTCATAGGCATGTCGATTTAAAATCGATTAATCGAAAAATCGATTATTTTGAATAATATAATCGATTTTTTAGATCGATTTTGGACCCTGCATCGATTCAATGAATCGATCCATAAACCTCTCGAATCGGACTGATTAATTCAAAGAACTACCCGATAATAAATATTCCTCAACTAGCTACGGTATAATTTTTTAATTTTTATGAACGCTTTCAAAGGTGGCGTTATTTATTTGCGTTAAAAAAAAACATTTTTTTTCCGGGCGTGTCCTCTCAACTGAACGTCAAAGTCGTCAAACACTCAAACCTAACCTAAAAAACCTATTCTTGACTCTTGTGTGAGTGAGTTTATTTATTACTTTATTTATCAAAAATATACTGTGGGTAAATATTATTTTTACTAGATAAATTTATAGTAATGTAATAAATAGTATCGTGTTCATATCGCATTCATGTTAATTCGAAAAATAATAGGTGAGTGATTATATTGAAATTGATTTATCGAGAAAGAAACGTGCGTTGTAGATTGCAATTTTATTAAAGTACCTATTGTTTTTTAGGCTAAAATGTCAACTAAAAGTGATACATGGAATC